CCCGGGCCCGGGCCCCGCCGCCCGCCGCTTCGCCCCTGCCCCAAGCCCCGCGGCCCCTTCGCTCCCCGTTCCCATCGCTGATCCCCATTCCAAGCGGGAATCGCGGCTTCTCCGCTAGACCCCTGCTCAGGGTGGGTCACGCAAAGGAAGCCGTGAGGGGCACTGACTGAGAGCGGGATCCTGCAGAGGATCCCAGGAAAACCGTATCAATAGCATAAGCACGCTTAAGCGGCAGCAGTTTTGTTTGCCCCATGTCAACTTGAAAACAAAATGGGGGAAGCTACAGGCCCTCAGCAGCAGGATGATGGACATTTCTCTGCCACGGGCTCTGGGAGGAGTGGAAGGCAGAACAGTTGCACAACTGGGTTGGGAGCGGAAGCTGTCCAAAAGAATCGTGTTCATGTGTGTTTGTGTGTGTGAGCTTCTTGCCAGAACATGATAGTTTCTCACCCCTCACAGTGCCCCAAAACGGCAAGAAAGTGGGACTAGATGTCTGTGCCTTTGAGTTTTGGCTCTACTGACCGATGGTGCAAAGAGGCTGCTGAGGACATTAATCACATCCTAATGGAACTCGGATTTTACCCCCACACAACCCCAGGACACCCCACCCTCATGGCGACAGGCGGGTCGAGGCAAGGACCGATGTGCTCCAGTCACCCTCAGGAGCCCCGCAGAGCCCCAGGACGGAGCACGGAGCCCGCCTGGATGCTCCTGCAGGAGAGGATGCACAGGGGCCGCGGGAAGAGCCATGCGGCAGGGACCTGCCGGACTGCTGGTCCCAACAGCCGCGGTGCGGGCACCAACACCCAGACGCTGCGTTAACCCTCAAAGCGCCGTGCGGCCCTGGCAGGGCTCAGCGGGGCGGCCTCCCGCGGCGAGGCGGGACAGCCGGAGCAGCGCTCCGGGCTGCCGCGCGGACCCCATTCCCGGAGATCACATGGTTGAGCTGAACAGGATTACGAAAAAGGAAGGGGAAGGGCAGGCGCTGAGCGAGCTGCGCCTGGAAAAGCCCTGCCAGGTCGCTGCCCAGGCTGCGGTGCAGGGCTCTAACTGAAGCCCTATGCAAACACTGGGCTTTGAGCTTTTATATTTCCAGACTGGCTTACAAAACCATTAAGGTTTTGTAATTGTCAGGTAGCAAACTGAGGCCTTTCAGGAAGAAAGGATTGCGGTGCTGCTCTGAGGAGGTGCGGGTCCTTGATTCCCGCTGTTTTTCCAGCCCAGGACTCTGCTGAGTAGGCACAGAACCAGGCACCGGGGAGCTCTGGGCTCAAAACAGAAGTGTCTACTCATGTCTCCAACAGAAAAACACTGGAGCACATGCAGTCCAAACTGATGTGTTCAGGTCCAACTATTCCAGGCAGCACAAATACCATCTGTTACAATGAAARCCTGAATAAGCATTCCCTATTTTTCCTGCTCTTTTGAACTGCAATTCTTATGGCATGCAGGAACAGCTTACTCCTAACACAATCCTTAAGATTATTTTAGAAATGGGAGAAATATCTAACAGATACACACCAGTGTCCACAGTACAAACTGCTTTTTGATACTATTTTTTCAGAGAGAGATGAGTGAGGTGCAGTTCTTTTTCCCTAAAATCTTCATTCTACCCCAGCGCTCTCTCAAATGAAAACAGCCTATAACAAATCTAATCGGCCTCCCAAATCCCATATGAAATGTTGGGCTGCACAAGAAGTTTGTGCCCCTATGATTTGGATACATAGGAACTCTGTGTCTTGGGAAGCTCCTGAACAAAATGAAGGAAGGAAGGACAGTGCAAGGTATGACATTTTTCTTCAGCTTCTCGAAGTGGTCACAAGCTGATGCCCAGGGAAGGCAGCAATATGGGGCTAAATGAACTTTGGGTCTAAGCCAGCACGGTCGTTACGTAACATGCTCAGAGTCTTAAACCAAGGGAAAGTTCCTCAGCAGAAGGAAAACCTCCAAGATGAAAGGAAAAWCACAACCAAAGTAAGACGCCTTGCTCAAAATCATGACTATGGGGATCCTCTGCCCATGACTGCACAGAAATGCACTGGTCTAGATTTATGGCACCAGGATTAGGCGGGGAGAGTGATGTGAAATGCAGAATTGTAGCACAGCCCGGCTGATTGCAGGCAGCATCCGGTGCAGGAACGCATCCCGGAGCCGGCACGTGCACATCCCTGCGGAAGGCCGGGCGGAACTGCCTGCCAGAACGGCACACAAGGAGACACGGGCGCTTGGCCTGGCACGCGAGCTGCCAAGGTGCCCAGGCCGCGCTGAGTCGCTCCATCATTTCCCATTTCCATCTAAAGCAAGTGTTTAACAACCCACCCATTTTCTCCATTTATCCAGGCCAAAGCCAGGCCTCTTGGTCTCCACTGGCTGCAGCACTGTTAACAGTTACACTGCTCTAAGCTTCCCGCGGAGAAGAGGTAAGAAGGGAAGACAACCCTGTTCCTAGAGCAAAGGACAGGGTGTTTGGCAGAGCAGTCAGCCATAGATGCTGACAGTTCTCTAGGGGTGTTTAGCACAGGCGTTGCCCAATGCAGTCGGCTAAAGCCACCACAAAGGTGGCACAGACACCCTGTTAAGTCTCTGTTTCCTGTTCCCAGCTATCTGACTTCCATCAACGATAACCCACTTGTCAGTGGCCTGATTAAGCAGTCAGGCAGCCACTGACTAAGGTGCTTTTAGCATCAGGCCCTTCTAGCAAGGGGAACGGGGGACAGAGAGAGGAAAAGGCAGAAGTCATCCCCCTCTTTGCTTACAAATAAAGGTAGAAGCCYTGTTTTCCTGTCCATCATATCTCACATCACCACCTCCGTGCCCCTGATCAGTAATTTCAAATTCCCTATGCCTTAAAAAAAAAAAAAAATTGTTGTTTAAGTCTCAAGCACTTGTTATTTAAATATTGACAGACCCTCCAATGGTTAATAGCTCTGTGGTTCATGGTGCTACTATGAAGGAGCCCAATGCAGAAGCTGTTCTAAAAAAAAAGTCACCACAGCCTCCAGATTAATTACAAACTCAGAGTTTGTCCAGGCTGCTCAGTTAGACTCCTGCAAAATGCTTTTAGCTTGACACAAACAAGGCTACTGTGCCTCCTCCTCTCGGCTCGGGGTGGAGAGAAAGGAAATGCTTACCGGAGAAGGCTGGTCTTGCGGGTAAGGCACAAGGCTGTGATTCAGGAGACTGGAATTTGGTTCTTGGCAATCCAGCCTTTCTACTCTTAGGCAACTCTCTTAATTCTCTAGACCTYGGTTTCCTCCGCAGAAAACAGAAGATACTTCCTTGCTCCCACACTGCTTATTCATCAGTGATGCAATTTCTTCAGGGGATGAACTGTTTTTATATGCAAGTGCTTAGCCCACTAAAACTGTAGTTCAGGAGCAGTTAGGCTGCAGTGGTGCCCAACAGAGGCAGTCACCCCTCATTCTCTCCTTGCCTCCAGGCAACTCCTTCACCACTGAATTCTTATACCATTATTTGGCTGTATAAGAAGCTTGCTTAAAAATAACCTGGGGTAATAAAAAAGTTGCTTTTCTGCTCAGTCAGCCTTTTGAGCCAGTTCCCTGCATATCACAGAAATGCTTGTACCAGCATCAAGGAATGGGACAGCACCAAGAATGAATTTGCAGAGGACAGCTTGGGGCAGCAGCACTAGCCTCATGTTGAAGTGCTGCCTTCATGARCTATAGCATAACAGTATATTCTTAGCTTGAGAGAGATAAAAATATCTGAGTGACATTTCTTAGTTGCATTCCTTCCTTAGGAGATTCAGTTTTCAGAGCAGAAGTTCTCAGCTACATTCTCCCCTGTTTTTCAASTGTTTCTTATTTCCTTCTCCTTATCCCAACGTTAGAGCACGTAGCACATTTTAAGAGTTAATGTAATAAGGAAAAACAAACAACAAACAAACAAACAAACAAMCCCCTTTTGGAGTTGTTGGCAGCTGAAGAACAAACTGTAGAGGAGAGTTTTCTCTCCCCTGTGCTAYGTAAAAGCCTTACGGAATAGTTTCTTAGGGTCCACTGAAATGAATGGACCTATTGTAAACTTATATCCGAATTAGGATTCATCTGCTGCTGTAGTCCTGTAGTGAGATGGCTTAGGGAGACCAGAGCTCAGTTGAGTGCAGTGAGCTCATCATCAGGAAACTACCTTTTTTTTTTTTTTTTCCCTCCTTTTTCCTTTTTTTTCACCACCCAGAACAACTCCRCAACTAGATTAGCCCCCGAGCCAGATGACTAAAACCGGTATGAGGGAAGCAGCAGAATTGCTCTAGCCACAGCCAGCAAAGGATGGGGCAGAAAGGAGGGCTGGAACCGCCTCCTTTGGCAACAGCAAGCAGTTAGACTGGCCTAGTTATGACATGAAACCACACTGGGAAAAAGAAAATAAAAGAACCCCAGCAATACATGTTCTGTGCTAATTCTGCTGCCCCCGACCCCAACGTATACTTCTTAGTTGTTATGCCCTTATCTAGCAGCATAAAACACCAGATCTATCACCCAGGTTATTACAAGCCTTTCTTTTTTTCTTCAAGCTAACAGGTATTTAAGCAGCTTATCATCACCTCGAGCTTCAAGAATCTCAGAAGACTGCAGCGGAAACAGGAAAAGATAGTTACATTGTTCCAATATAGCCCCATTAAACAGGACTCCTTTAAATTGGGACTCTGAAAACTTGTTTTTAAAATCTCTGCTCATAGAGATGCACACAGTTCTGGCTTGCATATTCCAACCAACTCAGGAATCACAAACGACACTGCTGTTCAGGTTGAAGGGTTACACTCCAATTCACATGAATATAATAACTCTTGGAAACTAATTGACACATAAAGCCCCATACAAAGCACACTTAAAAAAAATGACTGTAAGTTGTCCATCTACTCATCTTATCTGGTCTTGCATTTTTTCTGTTGTTTCTAAGCTGCCGGAGGCTGTGGGTCACACTCTCCCCTCACTATGCAAAGTCTTACCAGCAAGAGTCCTGAGCGAGCCACGGCAATGAGCACTGCTGCTTCACCCCCTTGAGCACCTAGTCTCCGTGGTGTCCGCCAGGAACTCAGTGCCAATACATATTTACTAATAAAAAACAATAAAAAAAGTATTTAGTAAAAAATTATGTTTACTAGCATTTAGTAAAGTTACAATTTTTAGTCTTACCTTCCTCTATTAACACCTTGAACCCCTTGCTTTCTCACACAGAGAACAAAGATGGGCTCTGCCATTTCTCTGTCTCAGTCATTTGGCAGTCAAAGCAGTAGCAGTGGGCATCAGTTATTAATTTTACCTTTATGACATTTGGGAAGATTTTTTTTTTTTTTTAATAAATAATTGATGTAGTGGTTGGCTTCTCCCTCATGTTAGAGAGCATTTGATAAATACTCATTTATCCACACAGTAATTCTACTTCTGCATCCAAAATTGTTGAAAAGGGATAAAATTCAAACAAGAATCTCAACGCTTTCAGTCTCAAGTATTGYGTCTTAGTCATAGAAGGACAGGATTTTAAGATGCTAGGATAAAGAAAACGTAAGTTCCAGGATGTAAGGAAAGCAAATTTTAATCTTGAAACTTTTATTTTTGATTTAGAAAGGAACAATAAGCCAGAAAAAATAATAATTCTTCAAAATAAAATGTACTTGCCTCTGTTGCAGAGAAAGAGAGAGAGAKAGAGAGAAAAGCTGAATGTATTCTTTCTCCAAGACAAAAATCAGATTTAGAGATAGCCCTTTGAGTGGAAACAAAGCAGACCTAGGAAAGGAAAGTTACCACAAGTTTCTTCTGACARCTGAGTACAGGAAGTGAAGGAAGAGAAAAGCCTACCACAAAAAGCAGATGAAGGAAACTAGCCAATGGCAAGAAGTTTTAATTAGTGCAAGGTCTAGCGGTAGCCATGGAAAGTTGGATGTAAGGGAGATAACTACTTAATTAAAAGGTTCCTTAATACACACAGATGTAGTGAGGAYAAGCTTTTGGTAGCAAAGGCACCGATGGCCTCGTACTCCTCCTGATAGTCTCCAGGGATCCCCTGGGGTGCAAGGCAAGTCAGCAGCACTGAGAATYGAACAGCTTAAATACTTATTTCAGCAAGTACACGTCAGCCCAGTCCAGGTTCTCCATTGCACYGGCCTCAGCTAGTCGAGGATCAAGGCAGCAGGAAGCACGAGGCGGGAGCTGGAGCGAAGCGCCTTTCTCCTCGGCCACGCAGCTGCTCCGAGCTGCACAGCTGGGGCTGCAGCAGCTGCAGCTAAATGCCCTCTTGTGGTCACCACAAAGAGCTCCTACCCAGGCGTGCAACTGCTGCTGTGAACAGCCTGGCACAGCGACACGGCTCTGCCCGCCCTTCTTGTGGCGGGAGAGGGCAGGGACCGTCCTGCACCAGGCAGGGAGCAGACACTGACCCACTGCTCAGGCTCCTGTCTCCAAGAAAAGCAAAGAGGCAACAGCACCTTTCCCAGGAGTTTCCATTAAAGCCTGCATGGATCACGATCTGCATAACTGATCTCAGAGTTCCCATGTGAATTCGCAAAATATTTGTCAATCTACATAATCATGGGATGAAAAAAAATCAAGTTATCTACTTACAAAAAAAAAAAAAAAACTAAAAACATACACACAGTTGTTAATTTTTGTTACCACCTTCCCCTACCTTGTAAGAGCAAGAAAGTGAAGCAAATCAATTCAGATTTAATAGCACTTCAAAGCTTCATGCAGATTAGAGTCTGCTGATTCAGGAAGYGAACGGCAAAGCTATCGCCAATGGCGTGCAAGCCTCACAGCCCGATAAGGGCATCGGGTCTATAGTGGGGCAATTCCAAGGAGACTGCACAGAAACTGTAAGCTGGCACAGAGACTTGTCTAAAGTTTAACTCATAACATAATTAATAACAGTTAGTGTCGCGATCCACCCATAAATGCTTAGAAGAGAGTCTGCTACAGCTCAGAGAGCAGTACCGAGACCGGCTTCCCTTCTGGATACTTTCACTGCTGTTGCAGAGAGATGCTGCAAGTGCTTCCAACACACCTGGCCTACTGAACGAGGACACAGGGTCTGAAGGCCAAGGGCAAGGTCTTGCCTCTGTGAAGTCCTAAGCACAGCTGAGAATCTCAAGGGAAAAGTAACAGCCAAACAGGTCAGCAGCTAGAAACGTATCTTGAGTTGGTTTAGGCTGTAATTGGAAAATCAGATGCTGGCTGAACTGTGCCACAGAGCTGAAACGCCACGAACGCACTTAAGTTTTTTGTTGAAAAGTCTTGCAAAGCGGTTTCATTTCATCTCTATTAACCAAAATAGAAGATTTCATGAAACAGCTAGTTCTATGATCGTCCCAGCAAAACTCACGTGTACACACACCATGTAAACTGAGCGTCATAGGCCCTGTAGTTGCTTCATCTGTCTACCTGGAAAAGAAGTCATCCGCCCCTTATGATTAAGGTCCATGGACCTTGGGAAGGTAGGAAGAGGGAGAAGTGCAAGCCTGGCTCATTGTGTCTCGCACCAGGAAGTGTGCAAGCATCCAACTACAGCAGGGAACCTGCAACTGATCCATGCATAGTTACTGCTGCAATCCTCAGCAGCTTTCCAGCATCAAGTCTGGACTTTATGTCTTTACCCCCTGAGCATTTACTTATTTTTTTCCCCCCTTACCACCAGAGAATCACACATTCTAAGTGTTTAGAAAAGCAAATACAGAAATCTTTGACCAAACCACAGAATTTTCACATATGCTAAACTCTTGTTGTTGTGAAAAGATACGGAGGTAAACTGAGAAAAAGAACTGGATAAAACACTGCCCCTGAAAGTCAATTATCCTTTCTCATACTGCGAGCTGCATCTTTGCAAAAGCAAGATTCAAGCATCATCAGGCAACAGCTCCTGTATGGAATCCCTTTGCACGATGATTCAAGGAGATGAGATGCAGATTGTGTGCTTGTCAGAAACTTAGCACGCTCAGCACTGGGAATGATTCTGAGGAGACCTTTATTTCTCAAGCAGGCTTGCCAGCTGAAGTCATTCAACAAATGGCTGGGAAYTACACTGTTCTTAAAAACAAGCAACTCGCCCCTGTGGAATTGCTGGCAGATACCACCATTTGTAGCCCTTGGTTTGCTACTCGATTGCAGCTGCTACAGCTACCACTTCTCCTTCTCCAGTAGGAAGTGACATCAGAGATCTCAGGATACAAAAAGCCCATTAGTGTGTAATCCTGAATAATGATTCTTCAAAACCCCTGCCCTTTAGTGAGTAGATTTACTAAATCAAGAATGTGTGTTCCCCTTAGAGGCCCTGATTACATAGGGGATCATTTCTGCTCCCTAAATAATCACCTTTAAGCTTCAGTGTCATTACAAATACTTCCATCATAAACACTGCTGCAGTCATGCAATTATAGAGTTCAATTAGAGCAAAAGTAAAAGTGCTGTGATCTACAGCACAACACAGCTTGTGGCAGATGACCCAGTCACTACAAACTTGCTTGGTTCAGGACTTAACCCTTGCAACACCATTAAAACCTTATTTGCAAAACAGCCCTGATGTAAGTGGTCAAGGTAGAAAAACAAGTGACCTGACATGTTTAGTTGTAATGCAGACACTTTTCACTTACATAGTTTAGGACTAGCAACTGCTTCTGTCCTGATGCTGGAGGACACCAGACATGTAGGAAGGGGAGAAGACTGCCTAGATATTTTACAACTGACACAATTACTATCTCATTACTATCTCTGCTTGGAAGAACATTTACTAGTGGTCCCTAGAAGAACAAACAGAGTAAAATATAGCTGAATAGACCTCCATAATAACTCATATTTAGCATAACAATTAGTTTCTCCCAGCCTTTACATATAATCAGCAACTTTTTTTGTGTTGTCAGCAATCCTGCTTCATAAGCATCCCTAATTTGAAATAAACTGGGGTAAACAGGTGAAATGTTGTTTCCACTTCGAGTGCTGAGTCCTTTAGATATGCACATACTTTATTCACCACAAGGGAAGGAGCCAGAGTTGCCAGCCAGAAGAAAAGAAAAGGAATCAAGTAGCTGGGACTACAGATGATATCAAGAAGATCCTTAAAAAAAAAACACCAAAAAACCCCCACAAACAAGCCCAAAATGCAGCTAATTATGGCTAATGAAAACAAACAGAAATGTGGCTAGCGTTTAAGAGTTTTTCCCTTCTCTTAACAAGTCACCATAACAGCACTACGAGGACTTCTCTGACAATCCTGTCTGGTCTTCTCTTRGGATATCCTCCCCTTCATAAGGTTACAACGCACAAATCTTTCATCTTTGGCAACAGATACGGGCCCTCCTCCAACTCGAACTTTATGAACRCAGTGTGCACAGCCCTGCTTGAAGAACAGAGGTCTGCTATCTTATCAAATCCTGTTCCGGCTGAGGAAAGTGGAGAGCAGCCAAGATTCTCTGGGGCTTCCTTCCAAGAGCATCTTCATCTTTGCTCATGACATGTTCAGGCAGCAGAGACCGATTACCAGCTCAAGACAGGAAATGCAGGAAGATTTACATTCCTAAACCTGGAGAAGGGTTATGCCAGCTTCCTGCAGAGCTAAGTGCCTTCTCCACCTGTTTGAGGTGTTTTAAGCAAGAGCACGTGCTTGGGCTCACTGTGCTGGTTCATTTCACTGAATACACTTTGATCACAAAACCAAGTTCATTAAATCTTAGGRTTGTGTAGTAAAATATTCATAAAACATTAATAACAAGGCAGTACAGTTGACATGTCTATAAAAGATGCACATGAGTGGRCTCTTGACAAAAGTTCACTTCAGTTTGCAAACTTTGTCTATGCATGACAAAATACATGGTCAGGCAACCAAACTGTTCACTAGGAAGAAAGACAGGGCTGCCAACTGCTTGCTGAAAATAGTCCCTCTTTCACAAATATGAAGCAAGGTACTAGTTCCTACAGCTGGCATTAATCATTCAACCTTCCTTGATTCAGTAGTTCCATCTCTTCCCTAAAGAGATCTGATT